CAAAGCGCGGATCGCTGATGAACACAAATGATCTCAAATTATCAATCAGCTACTCTCATAATCAAGCTACTACCCATCTTCGCAGTTCAGAATTCATCCGTATTTGCTTAGTTACATGTTCACCTATGGTACTTGATAATTGTTTTTCACTTGTCTCCAATTCTTCCCCATTTTTCCAATTTCTGCCGGCATTTTCCTGATGCATCCCTTACAATCATGATTTTTCTATGATTTTCTATGATTTCCCCCTTTGTTTCTATCTGATGTTTATAATGTATCTAATTCTTTTACCCAATTGCTATGCCTCAAGTCAAGGTTTTAACTAATAATATCTCTTTGATATATGTTCATATCCATCAGAGGTTTACAAAATGCAAGGCTGAAAGCTAGATTACATTCCATTTCATGAAATTTGAGTGCAGTTAGCTTGTATTCACTATTGCTGACAAGGGTAGAGTCACTCTGAATATCTCATAGTCTTGTTAAATGCGCGCCGTTGATAGCTTTCGAACGAGCCTATTTACGCTCGAATCGATCCAGCCGTTCTCGAGTACTGGAGATTGCAGTCTTTGGCAGAGTATGACGTCGGTGGTCGGGAATCCGGGCTTATCACAGCCGAGTCAGGGTCATGTACATTGAAAGAAATCAGCACTTCTCGGGGGAGCGACCATCGATAGCTCTCTTTATGGTAACTCCCATCAACGCGTATCATTTTTTGAGCTTGACCTTCCCGACCACCATAGGTTCATGTCTGCTCTCTCTCTTGATGCTTTGGGACCGTCGATGAAAGGAGTCAATGAACAAAGGTAAATGATCACGATATACTGTAGGTGGAAAGACGCGTCGTCATCGTCGTTCATGGTCAAGACGCGTCGAAAGCGAGATCGGGGGAAGCCGCCATGTTCAGATCGTCAATTTTGCGCGCCGCACCTCGTTGCCAACTTGAACCCATGTAAAACCACCGAGAACTACGATGGGCGCTGAGCGTACTCTTTGTCGTCGTCGCGTTCGCTACGCGTCGTACTCTCCTTTCTTTCACCAACGACGATGTCGAAACAAAAACGATCCGCGACGGGTCATCACACTCTTTTACCAGCTTCTAATGCGCGAGGGGAAATTCAGGTGCCTTTAGTGCCGACGCACAATGTCATTTCGTGGACTTTTGGTCGGGGCACGGTGGTAAGCTCTTTGGAAGTTCAACAAGAATCACTTTGACTGGAGATATTTTCGCCGACAGATATGGTCCATCTGGCCCGCATTTTTGCTCCACACCGCCTTCGCAGCTGGTACGGATCCCTTCCAACGCATCCTCCACGCTAGCTTCTAATTCACGCTCCTCCAGTTATCACAGTGATATCTCTGAAGACGAGATACTACCTCGGCGTCCCCCAGGTCCTAATTACAGTCCTCGGTATGCTGGTTCAATAATGATGGCCGAAAGTAAGTGCAAGCTGAAAGAGAATCGCGAAGGTGTCGTCATCGGATTCGTTATTTCATACCGTGCCGCCAGTGGGTCAGTAGAATCCTATTTGAAAACTTCCCATAAAGCTAATGCGCCTCATAGCTATGACCGCTACTGGATGGGCCGCGTTATTTGGTCAGACCTTGCCAAAACGTCCAGGACGATGGGTCGGCTCATCTGGTTTCACGTCCCACTCAAAAGTTCGCCAAATGAGGAACCAAAGGAAGAAAGAGAAATAGGTCGACTCATGAGAGAGAAACGTCTTGCCTTGGACCTGATCGAAGGGTAAGCAATTCCTGAAATTTTTCATCAGGTGATACAGAATCAAACGCGGGTGCAAACGATCTTTACAGGTTTGTGGTTGCGACTAAGCACCATCTACGAGGTGGATTTCTAAGTCTCTACCTCGCCCCATGCGCTAACGGGCTTTCAGGTGAAATGGGCTACTATCATGAGGATCTCTATCATCTGCTTCGCCCACTCCATAATGTTGGTATCACATTTTTGCTAGACACCGTTTGGACTGATCGTCATAGCACCCAGCTGGAAAGTACGCTGCGCCTCGGCCGGAAACTCACGAGCTCGAAGATATTGATTTTCCCATTGATGAATCATTAGTGGGAACGTCTGTAGTCGCATCCCCACCTCCGAGAACATTTTTGTCCATTCACGACCCTTTTGTTCCTCCGATCAATGATTATGGCACCTTCGATCCCGACTCAGCTTCCCCGACTTCCCGTCGCCGAGGTCGAGTCGCGCGTCGAGCCTCATCATCAAGCTGCGGGTCGTCTGGTAATGGGCAAAGTCACCCACCTCTCCTTCCTTCACAGGGCAAAAAACACTCGTCGCATATCATCACCGAGCTGATACCATTCGCCTCCATACTCCCTGGGGCTCAAAGGTGTGCCGGACGGAGGAAAGGAAGGAACACTCCGAAAGTCGCAGGCGGAGGCCAAAATATTCCGATCGAGATCGTCCGATGTTTGAGTGAATGGCTGTCAGTTCTGGACGAACGAGCGACAGTTTCAGGTTTGACAAACGTTCCCATGCTTGACTAATTCATTGATTTGAATTATAACAGGAAATCCATTGGGTGGCATGTACGGTTGCCTGACATCATTTGAGGACAGTCTTTCCGGTCAGTCGGCGTCGAGCATTGTTCGGGCATTCGCTAATTTATAGCGCCGCTGGCACAGCACTTGAGAGAATCTTGACGACCCCGTTACCTTTGTTCGTCGTCTCGTTTATAATCTTGAATCGCCGATTTTTGCTGACGTGCTTGAATAGTATTTACTCCGCGCACATCAGGTAAGGGACTCATGCTACTTCAAACGCCAATATTCACGAACATTTCTACTGCCGACAATAAATCAGACAGTGAGTCCCGTATGATTCTTTCGTAAAAGCAATGAGACTCAGAGTGATCGACAGTGCCGTATGGATGTACCTGTTTCTTTTACCATTTCAACTCGTAGGCCAATTCGGTTGGTATACCATACCGGGAGTAGGTATAGCAGCATTTTTCTACATAGGTTTCCTAGCAGCAGGCGAGGAAATAGAGCAGCCGTTTGGTGCGTGTTCTTTATGCTCCAGTGTCTTTGGATAAATATCTCATAATTTGCAGGCTATGACGACGTGAGTGCAAGACTTCTGACAGTAAATTTCTGCAACTCATACGTGATGAAAGAACGACTTGGACTTGGACCTTTTCTGTCGAGAAATTATTCACGCCGACATCGAGTCGTTGAAACGCACGCCATGCCCAAACGTCCGGCTTCCTGCCAAACACTTGAGCACGCCAGTCGGAGGAATCGCATCTACTGCTGAAGTAGGAAAGAATAAAGGGCAAAGCCTTGTCGAAGTATTTGGAGCACTGTAATTATGGAACACGGTCAATGTCACATTGACAAACGTCTTGAAACGCAGCCTCGACTGCCACCGATTCTTCTCTCTACCTTGAAGTCCCTCATATGCCCAAGTCAGATAATGAGAATAAAAACATCCTCAACGACAATTAAGAAGACAAAGAGGAAAATAATGTTGAAGAGATGGTTTCGGAATGAATGGGGACACTTCACGATGAGTGCATAGATGAAGACAAGGAGTTGAAAGATTCTCGAAGGAAGAAGCAGAGAATACTCTTTATCACTGCGCCTCTTCAATATGGTCGGAAGGTATCAAATTACTACAAATTTGATCAAATCGCGAGATGGCAAAGAACCAAGCAACAGCAAACATTGCTCCTGGCCCGTGCGCGGCTCTCCAGTATAAATACGAGCCCTCTCGCTATCCTGGAATCTCATACTTACCTTGATGGCGCATTCCCCTTCACGTCTTGGGAGTGTGGGCTATGGGGGCTTTTCATAGCACGGCGACCTTGTCCTCAGAGGGTGCCTGTGGTTTGTATGGGGTTTATGCCTCATGCACTGTCTCAATATTTTCCTGTCCTACTTCGGCCCTCGGGCTGGGTAGGCTCTCTTTTTTTTTTGGCCGGTTTTTGGTTCTAACCCTAACCTATATAATAAATAAACTATGCAAATATCTTTATATGGGAAGGAACATCGCGTTTTCGTTCGTTCGCTATTTCTCTGAAGTTTGCAACAAACTATTTTCTTTCAACTCAGAAGTCCTCCCGTCTCGCGCGTTGTTCAAGCACGAGTTTAAAAACGTTCTCAGATTATTGTGAGTCTCGGACGAACTCATCGACGTTCGTTGGCAGCTCTATGTCAATCAGTGAGTGTTGTTTCTCCTCGAACACGACTTCAACTTGTACAGCGGTTCTCGTCACTGCATGAGTACATACGCCATATGGGCAGAACACATTAATATTGTCTTGATACTCTATCGACATTGCAACAGGTCCGTTTTCCGAAACGCATAGTAAGCCCAATGTCACAGGAAAACTAGATTCGACGCCTCTTGTCCGCACATTGCATCGCGATGGTATGTTTTCTAATCACACATTCTTGTGGTGATGTTACTTACCGTTTTGTTCACCGTAGGCATACATTATTTTGCTGTTTGTTTTGCTCTCATGAATCATCAAGTTTCTTGGCAGAGAACCAAACCTATCAAATACCTCCCCGAAGCGATATCTCTAGTCAACATTCTTGTCGTTCCAAAGACGTATTTGCCATGTCCTGCTGAGGCTTCTGACACTGATCGACGTATCTTTTCCCCTCAAGCCATTGTATTCCATGTATTCCATCTGACTGAGTAAGTGAACGCTGCGCAATGCGGGCGAGCCTTCTTTCTCATTATTCTCATTCTCATTTCTTATTTTTTTCCCCAAGGAAGCATTTTCCACTCCATCCTCGCGTCTCACCTTATTATCGATGTGCGCAAGGCCGCGGCCTCCGGGGAACTGGAAGTCCAAGATCGCTATAAGGGCTTGCACTCATCGAACATCGTTCTGTGACAAGCGTTATCGGACGCGCGTTTTCGCTTTGGCATTGTACTTCTTACACGATTAGTACGCTTTTGAACGGTCTCTATTTGCTCTGGCGATTATATTGTTTATAAATAAAAGCTTGTCATCGGCCATATAGTGTAGCGGTTTATCACTCGGGATTTTGATTTCTTCGGAATTTCCCGTAACCCAGGTTCGAACCCTGGTATGGCCTTCATTGGGAGCCAATAAGTTTTTCATTCCTTTCTTTTTCCTTCTATGTTCTTCGACGAGTCTAAGAAACATGTTATCATCGACCTTTTTCTCGAATTTCGGAAACGTTAGGTCTGCTGCAACCTGTTGCGCGATCAAGCCGCCGAACCCACCGGGGTAGTGAGAGCCGTAACACGAACTTGCCAGGTCAAGTTACTCGTTCGTTCACCTACAATACAGAGAGTGCTCTTCGTTGTGTAAATTACAGTCGTTACTCTTCAACAAAACCGTCTTGTACGAGTGTTTCCACTGAAGCCTCCCAACCTTTCTCATCGGTGCTCTTCCCAACAACCTTCAACTCCCTCACATACTCTCCCTCCAACTGCGCATACAGATGGGGAAACAAATCACCGTTGCTCGCCTTTTCCCACTTGACTATCTTGAAGCTGCTCAACCGCTTGAAGTCGATCTTGAGCAACTGGACAGTCTCGTCAGTGCCGAAGAAGCGCGATAGCGTCCCGGGCAGCTGAGCGGCGGTCGACATATGGATGAACCCGTCCTTAGCGTCGACCTCGGTCTGGGGGAATATCCAGCTGGGAGGAACGGGAATGGGTGTGCCCTGGTAGACGGGTGTGTTTGGGAGGATCTTGTAGACGAAGTTGGGTTGAGGAGTTGTCATCTGGCTTTCAGATGTAGAGCTTTGGAATCGGGCTTGTGCGATGAGAGATAGACAAGCTGAAGAAGTATGATATGTAGAAGGACGACGACAATGGGCTGCGATTATTGAAGAGCACGATGTTGGTCGTTGTAGTTGCTGAAAGAGGCGCATATAGTGAGTGGCCTTGCGTCATTTGGCCATGAACTGCATCCGAAACGAGAGTATGTCCCTGATCGACGCATGGAATCAAATCAATATCGTCTGTTCAAATGCTTCGAACTGTCTTATTGTAACAATTGCCCATGATACACAATATCCTGATAAGAAATTTGAAAATGAAGTAAATCGAGATGCACTAGATAGGTCGACTAAAATGACGATAGCAAAGGTGACAGCTGGAGAGTGGAAGGAATGCGGTCGATACCCGAGGGAGTTCCACTAGAACTTTGTCTGCTTGACTGCGAAGAACAAGATGATGCACCGGTCACGGTAGAGCCAGAGCCCTGGCGAGAAGAGGGTGTTGACGCGCTAGACTTCATCTCGAACGGCCGAGACGAGAGGACGTTCTCGTCGACGCTGACGCCCCCGAACAAAGCAAAATCGGACTCCAACTCCCCGAAATCGTCAGGGTCATAAGAGCCGATGACTGGCGTATCTGAAGGGTTCGGAATGTGAGATGGCTCTTCTGTGTAGCCACCGAACATCGGCGTCCCCATGTCCGAAACTGCAGGTGATAGGACGCCGTGGGGCATAGTTACGAAGTCCACTGGGTTGACTGTGCTGTTCCCGTAAATCGTGGAGGACGTGAAGTCATCCAGGGGCATGGGTTCTTCGCTGTAACCCATAGGGAACGAATCTGAGAATATCGGGTCCAGTGGCATGAATGGCGATGGGCTGGGTGAGGGAGGGTATGCTTGAGACGCGAGCGGGGTATACATTGCTGATGGGCTTATTTGGGAGTCGAATGAGTTGGCGGGTGTATGGGGCGCGAACTGACCCGGGAAGGACGTCCATTGGCTCGCCGTCATTTCGTCGAAGGGTTGGAAGTATGGGGAAATAATATTTTCTTGGCTGCCCAATCCTTCCAATTGAAGACCAGAACCGTTGTACGGGTATGCAGACGCATTAGTGTGAAATGGGTGATACTCGTCAGAGTTCCCGAATTGAGGACAATTCGGCAACGAGTGACTGGCTCCAGTATCCGGCATGCCATCCACGCTAAGTTTGGGTCGTTTGATCTCGTTAGAGTAGTAGGTTTGCGGATAATCATAACGTTGGGTAGCGACGGGTTCCGTTTGAGTGCGTTCGGGACGTGACCTCGAAACTTGAGCGTTCCACGCAGGGTTAACGGCCCAATCCGAGCGAGCTTGCCCGGCAAAGAGTTTCCTAGGATCGATGTCATGCACGCCGCTCGAATCAGAGCTGCTGGATGATGGAATGGATGCATATGAGGAGGAACGAGAGATCGCTCCCGATGATGGTGTCCTCACTATTTCCCGTGAAGACGTAGAGATAGATCTAGGCGTGCCTGGCGAGCTTCGTCCGCCGTCTAGCTCCAAAGTGCTGAGCTTCGGAGACTTCTTCAGTCGCTGCTCTATACTCGATTCGCCGTTTTCCTTGTCCGGCGAGTCAGGATCTCGTGATTTTCGCTTCTTCCGCTGAGCTTTCATCAATTTAAACCTGGAAGAGATTGTTAACACAACGGTGATGATTCTCGGACGCAGCAACTTACTTGACTTCCAATTCCCATAGCCGCTTTGCCAACGACTTGGTTGTTGGTCGTAGAGCCGGGTTTTCTGCCCAACAGCTGGTGCAAAGTGCCCACATGTCATCGTCGAGTCCGCAATCTCCATCCGGCTGTTCAGGTAAACGTCCGTTGTGAATGGCGATGATCACTTGTGGGTCGGATCTGATTTTATGATACGGAGGGAGAGATGTGAAGAGTTCCTACATGAGGGATGCATAAATGCGTTTCTGCTCGTTCTCACTGATGGATCGAAAACATACCAGGATCGTCATCCCGAACGCCCATATATCGCTCTCCTTGGTTACGCAAGGTGGACCGAACTCTTCAGGAGAACTGAATAATTCTTTCGCAGTCCAGCGGATGCTTCCGAAGAATCCTTGAGTATGTGTTATTGTGTCACCGACGGCTTTCGACTCCGACACTATCTTGCTCAAACCAAAATCGGCCAGACGAGGCTCGAATGATTCATCAATAAGTATGTTATCCTAGAGAAGATCACATTAGTTTATGCAGATGAAGTACGAAGGAGAGTGCGTAGACGCACACCCTTGATGTCACCGTGGACGACATCATATCTATGAAGGTAACAAAGTCCATCGGCGACGTTCGTCAACTGATGAAGATTTATTAAGCTTGTTTCAGATTTGAAGAGAGATACATACAATTCGTATCTTCTCTCCAGGGGAACGAGTCTCTAGATACCGTTTCGACGTCCCATGAGGCATCCAGGGCGACACCAAGCTCGCCAGCCTGCTTCCCAAACCATAGGCGAAACCCAGCAACGGCAAGATGTTCCTGTGATGCAGATCTGACCACGCTCTAACCTCTCTCACCAATCGCTAAACATGTCGGAGAAGACGAGTCAGATATTAGGTGCCGCAGGAGAAGCTGCACAGCAAGCTGGAAGAATTACAGCATGCAGACGTACTCTTTTCAGCGACAATTCATTCGAGCTCACCCCCACTTCCCTAATCACCTTGACCGCAACCTTCCTCCCCTCGCAATAGCCCTCCCAGACATTTGAGCATCCGCCAGCTCCGACTGAGAATTCGCCTATCCGCCTGACTTTCCCGGTCAAATTGAGCTTGTCGTATAGCTTGTCCAAATCATAGCCGTGGTGCATTACTGCCGTTGAAGCAAAAGAATGAAGAGAAAGTCAACAATCCATGAAGTTCAAAAGCGAAAGGAGTCACAAATGCATGTCGGCGATGGAGGAGAAGACTCGACTCGACTTCGCCCTCACAAATTCGCCTCTCACAAAAGGTTCCCACGCTTTCAGTGGTCGATGAATCAGCGGTGCTCGTCTTGCAGCACGCGCTCAACACTTTCTTTAGCCACCACCACCTTCGCGTACTTCAGGACGTGTCGATGGCGAGTTCGAACACATTTTAATACCATTCTCTATGCTGATTGTCTTGTGATGTTACTCAGCCTGATTTACATTTCTGTTCCGAATGTAACAACCTCTTGTACCCAAAGGCGGACCAGCAGCGGCGCGTCATGGTCTTTGCCTGTCGAATTTGTCAGTACGACGAAGTTGGAGACGACGCTTGTGTGTATAGGAACGATTTGTTGACGGTCACAAAGTGCGTTTACTAAATGCTCTTACTCGTATCTGCATTCCAAGTTCATCTTGTTGTCAGAGAGAAGACTGGTGTCGTGCTTGACTTGGGCACGGATCCAACTCTGGTGCGTCCGGTTTCCATTCCTACACTGGTCGTTTCTTGAGGTTCTTGTTCTTCAGGCGCACTCTTCGATTCCATGTCCGGAATGTGGCAATCCTGAGTACGTACAACATCATTTTCCAACGAAACGAGTATCTAATCTGGGATCTTCATGGATAGCGCGGTGTACTTTCAAGACCAGTCGAAGAGACACCAGACGCGCATGATTCTCTTCTTTGTGTGCACATCTTGCAATCATGTGTTCTCAGACCCGAACTTGAAGCAGGAGGTCCCGACGGACGATTAGTGTCGTTGCGGCACCCGATTTTTGTTGTACATCTTCTGATGCGTTGCCTCTGTGCGGGGAAGTCTAATGTAGTCATGATGTGAGTCTGTTTCGTTTTTTACGTCCGAGGTCTTCGTCCTAACATGTCCAGATTGTAATTTGATAGAAATACACAAATTGACACGTACCGCGGATATGACCGAGCCAGGCCGACCACATTCTTGTTCATCGTTACGGGGGCCGTCGGCGTTGTACCCGTTGTCGGCATACGATCCCAGAGTACGAGCCTAGCGCCGACGTTAGGCACAGGATGGTACAGGACCTTTCCACCTGGAGAAGAAGATGCAGATCATGAAACAGCCTCCGAACGGACGGACAGAAAGAGGAGACCGGCAAATCCGCTTTAGCAGGAACGAAAGTTACGAAACGCAAAGTAAAAGTTTCCGGCGTGGCCATGTGCGATGATGCATGTCACTGCAGATGCCTAACCGGGGCAACCTTGCTCATCACCGTCCGAAGAAATCGTTTGGCGCGAGGACGGTACGCTGGGGTAGCATTTTTGACAGACAAAGTTCGTCAAAGCGAAGGCTAATAAAAGGGGGGAAAGACGGGGAGACAACAGGCGTGGGTCCGAGAAGGAAAGTGTCGAGATGCGACAGGAAGAAGG